TTCCCTCGTTACCCCGCTCTTCATTCTATTGTATGAACCGCAGTAGTACGTAATAGCTTGAATTAGTGTGCTACTTTTAACTATGTTTCTTTTTGAAGTGAGAGGAATTTGTACAGAAGGAGCAAAATGATGACTTCCAACAAACAGTAACAGCCGGTTTACTTTCACCAACGGCTAAGGATTCGTTATTCGTTATGTTTTATAGTTTGTGTAAACTGATAGGAAATAATATGTTTTTAGGACTGCTGCCTTCAACTAAAAGATTTCTTCTCTATTATGTAGTTTCAAATATCTTATAATCAAGGGTTGCTTATGATTATGACACTTGTATAAGTATGTGAAGTACTCTCCAAATAGATGTTCTACGGTCGTTTTCATTTTTTTCGGCTTCTGAGGTGAACTTTTTTCCTCAAAAATAAAGAGGACCTTTTTTTGTAAAGTGACAAGAAACCGGTTTTCGATAGGTTTGAGAATTAATACCTTTGAATCGCATGTTTACTATTATAATTGGAGAGCTAAGATAGTTTGAGCTTTTGAGTAGAATTTGTTTTCTTATCAGTTTTTTTTTCTTTTTTTTGGAGAGGGGGGGGGGAGAAGGGGAGCGCTTTCTCTGTAGCTTGATTTTTATTTTTATTGAAAATTTTTGATGTTGTCAAGATGATGGAGTAACGAAGCTTAGGCATTTTGCAGATGAATACAAGAAAATAATATTTTCATCGGTCTTGATTGCCCATATTCCAAGTCAAAGCTTTAGCTGTTAGAATTATTGTTTTCAGAGGTTCATTTTAAACTGAAGATGAACCAAGAGAAACGTGAAAGTTTTTCAGCAACAGATCAGTTTGTTAGTTTATCAGATTTAACGAGGAAAAAATTTTTTTTAGTTTTCTCATACCTAATTTTTTTACGTGTTTGCAGTGGTGTTTATATCACTTAAAAATTATCCACTTACGTATTGCCTTTCCTAGTTAAAACTTGTTTATGAAGCAAAAACCAGACCTTTTTTGAGCAGTGTATATGTCAAGTTATAAAATAACTTACGTTTTTGGTTTTTTCTGTCGAGTTTATCATTTCCCGGGTACTTACTCCTATAAACATCCTTTTCAGTCTTCCCTTTATTATCGTCAACCAGATTCATATTCTACTATGAATAAATTCGCTGTTCTGTTATTGCAGCTGAACGATTCATCATGTCTAAACGGTCAGCAAAAAGGGTTTAATGAAAATTTCACTAGAAGGATTAAGTACCAAAGACTGAAAAAGCCTGATTTTATGCTTAACTTCTTTAATTACCACTGCATTTGTATCATGCGGAGAACAACTCTACATATGTAATTTTTCGGCTTATGGCTACAAAAGT